CCAACACCAGTTAGTGCATTATTACATGCTGCTACAATGGTATGTAGTGGAGTTTATGTATTAGTAAGATCATTTTATATATTAGAATATACACCATCAATATTATATACAATATTATGATTAGCAGGATTAACAACATTAGTAAGTGGATTAATAGCAACAGTAACTAATGATATAAAAAGAGTTATAGCTTTATCAACTATGAGTCAATTAGCAATGATGATGTTAGCTATAGGATCTAGTGCATATGATTTAGCAATATATCATTTATATTGTCATGCTTTCTTTAAAGCATTATTATTTATGTCAGCAGGTTCAATAATACATAGTTATATGTCTGAAACACAAGATATGCGTAAATATGGTGGTTTAATAGAATATTTACCATTTAGTTATACTTCTATGGTAATAGCATCATTATCATTAATGGCTATACCTGGATTAACAGGATATTATTCTAAAGATATAATTATAGAATCATTATATGGAACATATACTGTTAGTGGATATATAATGTATTATATAGCTACAGCATCAGCAACTTTAACAGCTATATATTCTTTAAGAGTATTATATTTAACTTTCTATAATAATCCACGTGGTAATAAATACACATATTCATTTGTACATGAAAGTAATCATATGGCTATTCCTATGTTTATATTAGCTATATATAGTATATTCTTAGGTTATGGAAGAGATAATGTTACTTTCCATTTAGTTATGGGTCTACCTCATACTAATACATTTATAGAAACTGAATATACTTTACCTGCATTATTTAAATTATTACCTATGATATTAGGTTTAGGTTTATCTTTAACTTTAATTTATATTTATGAATTTGCTTATAATTTATTCGATAAAGGTCCTAATTTCTCTAGTGTATATACTTACTTTAACCAACGTATATATTATGATCAATTATTAAATAATTTAATTATTAGACCTGTATTAATCTTTGGTGGTGCTTTAAATTCTTATATTGATAATGGTTTACTTAAAGTTTTAGGTAGTACCGGTATCAGTAGAGGTTTAAATTACCTTTCTATATTCTTATTATTTAATTTATTATTCTTAATATTTGATTTCTCTTCTTTCGATATATTATAACTTATAATCCTTTTATTATATCTTTGAAGGATTAATATAGATGATAAAAGAATATGATAATATTTTATTTT